ATTATAATATTCATTAAAAATATATATAATAGTTAAAATCATGATGATTTAATTCCTGTAAAATAGCAACGGCAACACAGAACTATCATATTCCTCACATCTTTATAATAACAATATATAAATAGGTTTATATCGCATGTTTTCTTTCTAATGTTATTTTATTAGAAAAGCGCTTTAATTCTATATATAATATATATAAGTGTATATATCTTTAAATCTATCCAACATTATTTTGAAATAAAAAAAATAACAGAATAAAAATAAATTGCTTTTTAAGAAAATATAACTTTATTGTATAATTATTAAATATAATCCATACTGACACCTAAAATATGTTCATTCGATATAAATTCATAAGTATTCAGAGATTACATTATAAAAAAAATGAAATAACAAATAGGGACAATATATTCCAACAATTATATATTTTATCCTAAAAATATTTCTATTTATTCATTCTATTCATTATATTTACTGAAAAAATATAACATGCACAAAATTGCATATAGACATTCATATATGATTTATGTTTTTTCTAAACACATTGCAAAGTTTCTCTTACAGTGCGATAGAATGTACAAATTGCACTGTTCTTTCAATTATCACACATTACATCTCCATAGTTATATAATAATGTCGAATACATTGGAAAACTAAAATTTATAACTTTTCAAATGGGCAGTAAATTCATTGGCATAATTATATTTTTATAAATATATAAATATTCATGACAAAAATCTAATACTGCTAAAACATTAAACCAAAACTCTAAATCCTCATGTATATTAAGATAAAAAAAAATTTATATTTATTTTATTTTGATTTAATTAATATATATATTTTTATATGTTATAATCATCTTTTGTCATATATTTTACCTGTGTCAATTTTTTCAATATAATAGACATATCATTTTAATTCGTGTACAAATTTTTCATAAAATAAGAATTATAGTCAAGTGCTTAATTTGAGGGATTTCTTTTTCTTTTAATTTATATTTCTTATATAATATGAATTTATACATATTTTTCAATTCTTGCATATTATTTTTTGTATAATTAAAATTGAAAATATTATCTAAATATTCTGTATTTAAATTGAGTATACATACATATGTAAGATTTTATTCAATCATACAAAATTTAGAGCTGTGATTATTATACAAAACATATAATAATATATATTTGTTTTATAAATATTATGATTATATAGACAGTAATATTATATTCTTCTAATATAAAATAATCATATTTTCATACATGTCTTATGTGTTAGAATATATGACATAAGTAATATAAGAGTTTAACATTTCATAAATTCTTCATATTAGGATATATATATTTGAGGATAACTTTTTATAATTAGTCTTGTGAAGAAACGTATTTTCCGACATATTATATAAAATATAAAAACATTTGTATTTAATTATTATTTAAAATAAGGTAATATATAACTTGACACAAAAAAAAACTAAGCAAAATAAATCCACTATAATGTATCAATGAAATTACAAGTTTTAATTTCGACATGTATAAATATATTAGCTAAAATTCTATATTATTATTTTATAAATGTTATGCATTTAATAATATAGAAAATTATGTTCACCAAAATAAAAATATACTATAGCTAAAAATAACAAGAAACATGTTTTTAGTATATTTTACTCTATATTTATATGAATAATGAATAAGACCTTAAAAACTAGGTAATGTTTTATTTGATTCCTAATCTCATAATTATAAAAAAATTATATTTATTTTTGCTTTTCTCTTTAATAATAATTACTTTTGTTATATATATTTTAGAAAAAGCATTATTATAAATATATACTACATCACTTTTTATATATATATAATATTATATTATCTTCTTATTATATTTTTAATGGTGAAATTAGTGAATATTATATAATATAAGTTAGCCGTTATTTCTTAAATTAAAAACGGATATTTCATATTGTTCGAATACACTCCCCTCATTATCTATATTATTATATTTTTTTTTTTTCTTCATAAATTCATCTTTGATAGATCAACTATATGGAATGAACTATATCATAATAAGAAGAATTATTATCTAAAATGTGTAATTCTTTTCTAAAAATTTGTTCATTTTAAATTACTTAAATTTATACTATTGCTGTATAAGCATATACATATAACATTATTATTAACCTTATACAAGATAACTAAAAAAGAAGATATTGCTAATGTTACAACGATTGGAATTAATATGATAATTATAATATTAATTTTTCGTTAGGAAGGCAATGTTTGGGGGTATCAGTATCACAACTATGAGAAGATATTTTATCATAATACTTTTTTCTAAATTCTTCTAATGCATTACAGAAATAGAGAAATCTGTTGTACATACATTTATATTTTTGTTTCATATATATTTCAGCACACTCCTTGGCACATTCACATTTATTACCAGATACTTCAGGTTCCTTACTTATTTTATTAAGTTTAACGTGCATGTCATATACATACTTCAGGTTTAGCATTTCTTCATTTGTAATTTTAATGTTCTCATGATTCTTACATCCCAGATTGTTTGTATTATAAAATACATTTATCAATTTATTATAAAGCTGTTTAACATCATCAATATAATCATCTGAATTATAATGAATATATAGCCAATAATGCAAATATATGCAACATGATTTGGAAGTCCAAGAGGGATTCGGATGATGTTGACTTATATGTCGAGTATAAGAATCCACTTTTTTGCATATGTAGTTAATGTCCGAACGAAAAGTTTCATGTATTTCATTTACTATCTCATTACATTCAGGAATTATATTCGATTTTGCTGTACTTTTTTCTATATCCATAATACTTTCCTAATTTGGAAATTCGTCCACAAATTTATACTAGAAATAAATAAAAAATTATTTCATGACAAAATTAATAATTTACTAAATTTTTTTTTTGCTAATTTATTGAAAAATAATATATAAAAATGTTTTAATGTATTATTTTATACTTTAATAATTATGATGTACAATATCTTTAGTCATTTCTTATATGTTTATATATATTTACAGAGTGCCTCGATATAACAAATTAATTTATGGACATATATGTAGTGTATTTAAAAAGTAAAAGACATATAATGTAGTAAAACAATTTTTTACAGTTATTAAATTATAGGAATAATATAAATATTGAACGAATCCTTAGTTTATTAAATTTTACGCATAAAAAAAAAATAGTAATCATTATAAACATATTACATTTTTTAATTATTTTAAGAAAAAAATGTAAATATTATTTGTTAGATTTAGGATAAATAGAAAAATAAAAAATAGTTTGATTGTTTATGACATTTGTCTAAAATATAAAAATCATATAATTTTGCTAAATACATACACTAGAGTAAATAATATAATATTATTTTATGATATTCATATATACTTAATTCATTTCATTATTCCTCAATTGTATTGTTCATAGTAATATGTATAATTTAATGAAAAGTATATATAATATAGGAATATATAATTATTGAGGATAATGTTGTAGTTAATTTGTTTTTCCTATGTAATAATTGATACCAGTTCACTAAAATGTATTATAACCAATTACTAAAAATAGATATAATTACTATTCGTTATCTATAATAAAAGATATAATAGTATGTAGGATTTAGAATACGTTTAAATGATAAAATTATTTACTATTATAAATACGTATTTATAGTTATTATTTTGCTCGTATTCGTTAATTATAATCTTATTAAGCTACATATACCTATTTCTTAAAAATTTAGATACTATCAGACCAAACGTATATTAAGGTAATATATAAATAAGAATTATCAGTTCCTTAAGCAATTCGTATTTATATACTATGTTTTAAATTATTTTGTACATTGATCTGTTAAATATTATCACATTTTATAGAAATATAAGCAATTTATAAATGAAAACATTAGTTTTATTATATAATGAGTATATATAATATTTTAAAAGGGAATTTTTCAAGAATTAATTACTTCCAATATTATTTTAATAATATTTCATTTATAAAATTATATTAATCTAAATCATCCATCCTAATTACGTTATATAAAACATTTTGAGTGTATAATATAATAATACATGTAATGTATATTTCATTATGTGAATAAAAATGGGCATGAACACATAATTGCTGCTTCTATTTGAATATGTAATGTATAAAATAATGTTTTTTTATATAATTTATTTTTCATTGTTCTCATTTTTCAATAAAAATTTAATGATGTAAACAACAGTTTTATATAATAAGTATATAACATGTTAACTCATAATTATTTAGTTTAATAGTTAAAAATTTTAAAAATCGTATATTTTTATAGAACTATATATTCACAATTAGACAAAAAATATTAATAATAATTACTAATTTATATCATACTGGATTTTCTTTGCAATTTTATGCATTGTATTAATTAAAAATAAAAAAATTTTAATAAAACAATGAAATTAGAAGAAATAGGGTTATATGATTTATACAGAAAAATTCACGTATTTTATTATAAAATCATTTACTATATATTCATCTTTTATATTGACACATATATATAATATTAATTGATACTTTTGCTTTAAAATAAATAGTATTACGATTATTAATCTATAGAAATAGAGCTCAAGATAGGGTTAAAAATTAATTTTTAATGATATAAATTGAATTTTGTATAACAGAGAAATATATATATAAATTAAAATTTCATTAATTATAAATTTTTTGAACAAAATAATTAATTTTCTCATATATTGTGAAACGTAATATTATATATCTAAAATTAATTCTGCAAACACTTCATTATAAAAAATATTATAAATGAACTCTATACACAAAGATAATCTTCTACATACATATGACACTGTAAGAGAACAACATATGTTTTTTAAAAAAAATATGGATCCATGTATATAGCTTTCCTCGTATAACATACAAATGAGTTCATTAAATTGTTCTAAAAAGATAAGCTTCTTATATAGGGAGTATATGAGATTTTCATAAAATTATAAATAAAAAAAAGAAAAAAATTGTCTAAATACATATAATAAAATGAAAAAATTCATCACTTAATTTAATAAAAAATTACATAAAATTCTAAACTAATAGAAATTGATGAATGAAAAAAAATATGAAATACATATTTAACACTTATGTAGATTCTAACCGAATTTATAAAGAATGTGCACATGGAAAAATTGTTTAATATATAATTGCGTAATAAATTTATGAGAAACATTCGTGGGTGAAAAATATGTAACATATAATGAGAATAGTTCTAATATTTTCTAAAAGTAAATTGTGTAATTTTTAAAAATTATTTATCATCAATATATTTTCCTCTAAATTTATTCGAATATTCAACATTATATAAGTGAATAATGTCTATATAGAAACCTCATACTTAGATCTATAAAAGTAATTATTATTCGGATGAATATTACAAATTCTAGATATCAATTTTGCTGAGTAAACATTTTTCCGTAAATTAATATTACGATAGTTAAAAAGTTATGCCCTTATTTTAAAGTAAAAAATGTATCAAAAAAATATATTAAAAAGAACATAAAAATATAAAAAATATGATACATAAGAAATTAAATAACAAGAAATTTTCTTAAAATATATATGGTAAGAGTAGCTAATTTTTCTTAAATTAATAATAATATTTAGAATACATACGCATAAAAGCCCTCAATTTTAAACAACATTTTCTAAAATTTTCCTATATAATATTCTTATAATTCCATATTTAAATGGAATATATCATGTTTTACAATATTCATTTATATTCCTTATACTTTTTTTTTATTTTTATGTGATAATGATAAAGCACATAATTATGAAATGTCTTACATTTCTAATAAAACACTTTAATTAAAATATTTTTATAATATAATACAATCATTAATACTAATAGATTTCTGTATTGGTATATGTTGTATTCCACATAAATTTTTTAATAAGTAGTGTCATATATTTATTGACGCTTATTTCTTACATTACCATTTTAATATATATAACAAAATTTTCTTGCTTTTTTATGATATAATATATATATGTATTATATAATATAATTCCTTTTCAATATAGAATTAATTCATTAATTTATTTTTGTTCTAATTTAATTAGCTTATTCTTTATAATTTGCATGATTAATTCTGTAATAAATTGTTTCTTAAACTCATATATTAATGCTTTTATTATTTTTGATTGCAACATCGTAATATTAATGAATAATAAATTTTTTTATTTAGATATAGAATTACTGCTACAATGTAGTATACCTATATATTCTTCCTGTTTTATTCTTTTTCATTTACGTGTGTGACCAAATTTTAACTTATCTCTTTTTATATATATAATGTATTTAACATTGTGAACAAGTGAATTTTGTATACTTTTACATTTATCATATTTTTCAGAAAACTATTAATATTATTTAAATATACATGAATATAAAATTTACAAGAATTTACATAAAACGCTGTCAATTGTATTATGAAGTACATAGTATATATTAAGAAGAATAAACTACATATTACACTTAATAATAAGGAACATTAATAAGTTAGAAATATATATATATTCCATTAATATATAGATTGTGTATAAGACCTATACAATATATATGATTAAAATGTAGAAAAATAATTAATAGTTATATATGTTTTATTATAATTATTAATATTTCTTGCTTTTTGTTTTCATATTTTTGGTATTTTTTTAAAAATAGAGTATACAATAACATGTAAATTGACTAAAATACGTTTTTTTCTACATTATATACGTTCGTAAGCTGATATTTCATATGGAACCTTATAATTTATACATTTATGAAAATAAAACAATTAATATTTCATAGTAGTCATTTACATAGGTTTGCTTATATACGGATGATAAAATTCAGAAAAAAGTCACATACACAATTATATAAAAAAAATAAATGACCACAACATGAAGAAGTTTAATATAAATGAGGATTACTTAATAAATTTTAGGACATTACTGATTTTTGTTTTTGTGGTTTTAAACAAGTACAATTTAATATTACCATAGTAAATGGATCATTAATTATGATAGAATATAGACATACAGACATTAGACACATTCATTTAATAATGCATTGATATATATTGTATAATATAAAAACACTGAATAAATATATGTACATACCATGATTAGATAATTCATACTAATAAAACATATTAACCAAACATATAATATACAAAAATGCATTTCAATATACAATACACAAAATGTATTTTACCTAATTTTTTGGATAGAAAAGAAAATGTAATCTATATATTTACGCTCATAATGTCGTAACACACTATATACTAAAGTATAACTTATAATATCTATATATGTTTTCAAAATAACGTAAACAACTTTAATTAAAATTCGTTCAATAAATATAGAGTCAATTAGAATACATATTACAGTTTAATTAACATCACACCCTTTTATAAATAATAAGTAAAGGTGCATTTGTTTTAAATATATCTTATATATCTCATACCAAAAAGTGCAAAAAAATCAATATATTAGTATTTTATATGTATAAGTAAAATTTGTCATAATATATTTAATAATAGAATAGAATCGGAACACGAGAAAAAAGAATATAATTATCATTTTTCTCAAAAATATTACAAGCATATTCGTGATAAGCATTAAAACAAAATAAGTGATGCTGTAGACAAAAGGTTTTACATATATTCATTTCAGAGATATTAGAGTTTTCAATTATTTTTTTATATGAAATGTCTTTTTAAAAATCATCGAACAAAACTTATGTTATATATATATTATTAAATAAAATATATAATTTTCAATTTTCATCTTACTTAATTTTACATGGAGCATATATACTACAAAGCAGTATAAGAAAATATGGATAATTATTTTTATTCTTTTGTCTATTCCATTATACCTTGAGCGGAAAAGAAAGAGAAGATAAAAAAATGTATAATTTCTTTAGAATTTTATTGAAATGTGAATAGTACTG